CTCTCCAAGATCGGTGACGGAGAGATTCCCTTCGTGCTGGAGTGAGATGACCGGTATATCTGTTGATGAATCTTAACTCGGTGTCCATTCTCTGCGTGCCAATTTCTTCAGTCAAGGCTCCTTTCTGGCAAGCTTTGGTGAAGCGGGGAGGAGCAAGTGCTCATTGGATTTAAGACTCGCTTCACCGCTGGTTTCGCCCGAGAACTGCCAATCTTCGAGCAATTATCAAAAGAAGCTTGAAGTCGCTGGGATCTCCGTGATGCAGAAGCGGAAGCCATATGACCAGAGTGCGGATGTTTGCAGGCGTCTGAAGGCTTGGGATTAGAATCCCTTCCTGACGAGATCGCCAAGCTGCAGCCCAAGGACTCTGCCTGCTGTGCGTTACTGGTACGTCCCGTCTGTGCCAAGCTCGAACACCAGCCAAAGCCCAACGTCCGATTCTGAAGTTGTGGCTTCTGGAAGGGGTTGCTCATGAACCGTCATGCTGTGACATGTGTTTTTCTGGCAGCACGTCCGCCTCCTCACCAGCGCCTCAGAACTGCAGGACGGATGCTTTGCACGAGTAGCCTTGACGCTGGAGTGGCCGAGTGCAGCTAAGCAGAAGTTGCGGTGTCCCTGCGGACTTGCGAGCAGTCCACATGCCACATCGTATACCTAGCTGGGCTTGAGACCTGAATCTGCTATTCAGGTCAACATCCTCGACGAAAATACGTTCGAGGCAAGCAGACTCTGCATCAGGCGTCAGGTAGTGGATGACATGCGAGACTGATGTTCATGATGTTAGACAAGACTCAGTCTTCCATATGATGCGTGCTCGTGAGCTGCTAGGTGCCAGTTGCGGCCACAGGGCGATGTCCAAGCCGAGGGGCCCAGCATGATGCCGAATGCTGCTCTCAGGGGGGTTCTGCAGAGCAGCGCTTCCAGGCCATCCGCATCCGCTACTCTACTTGTGCACCTCAGAGGACGCTGGGATTTGACAGTTTCATGGTGCTGTTCCCGAGTTTTAAACTTGGGACCCAGACCACAGGCAGCCAGGGATTCCCCAGCAAGTGTTGGCAAGTGCAGGACGACGTTTATGTCGTGATCATCCCCTGGCACGGCGCTGTGCCCGTGAGGGATCAGGCACGACCAGGGTCCACTATAGAGGCTTCCCTTCGCCCCTGAATCCTGTCGCGTGGTCTGGGACCTGTGATTTGCCATACATTCTCTGGTGATCACGAGCAAGAACGGTCGGCCAAAACTGAAGGATATCTTCCTGGGCTGCACAGACATTCTTCGTGGAGCTCAGCCTCTGGACGCTTGCTTCTGCTGGCTATTGCTCAGTTTTTGGCAGGGCAGGGTAGGGAGGGGGAGGGAGGGGAGCCATCCAAGCTAGCCTTTCTACGTGCTGCAATCGCTCAGTCTTTGATGCTTCCTACAGTTTCCTGAGGAGGAGAATCCCTTCGCTACCATCCGGCTCTACAACCTTGATGTTCGGCGGTCTGCTGGTGGCCCCAGACAGCAGGTTTGGATAGGCTTTGATGTCAGATTACAAACCTTGGTCCATTGTTGGGCTTCGGCATAAATGTTGCCATCAGGTCCGCCAGAGCCCCATGGAAAATGCAGCGGCTTTTGGGGCCATGCTGGCTATACTTGCCCTCGGTTTCAGCTGTGGGCCATGCAGTGCGCGGGTCTTGTCAGATGCCGTCGGAGAGTTTGCATGCCTTCGAGTTTTCTTCGCTCTCTGCATGGGCCTCAGTCACTTTCCCCTGATCGGTTATCTTCGCTTTCGATGGGGTACTGCGAGGTTTCTTCTGGCAGAGTGATGCTGGGGAAGCTCCAGAAGAGCAGCTTGGAGGGCGAACTGTGCCCCAGATGCATTCATCAAGCTTGGTGCTAGCTCAGATATCAGACACTCCCGGGGTCGTTTGGGACCATGGGACTGGTTCTGAAGAACACGCATTAAGCTCCGAACCAACAGGGCAGTCGCGGTGGAGTCCTGTCCATGGCATGTGCATCTTTTACCATAAGCCTGATCGCTAGTGCCCCAACATCCTGAGTTCTCACTTCTGCAGGTTCATCGCTCGGAGGCCGTGTGGCTGCTTGCTGTCAGAGTTTGGATGGTTCGGGATACCTGAAATCAGGATGTAGTGCCCTGATCAGGCCGTTTGTGGTCTGTTTGTGGCAGAAAGAGATGGATGAGACCTGGCTTGTCATGGAGACGCGCAGAAATGTGGCTAGAATTGGCTAGATATCTGCAGTGTGCAATCTACTTCTGCCATGCACTGAGGACTTGAACATCCCACTCTCTGTGACAATGGTGCCCTAGCCCATGATCAGAAGCGTGATGTGCACAACCATCGAAGGTACAAGGACTTGACAGTCTTAGATACCTCTTGTTCTAGAGCCAGCCTGAGTGTACGCTACGACGCATCGCGCAGTGTTTCACTTGTGGTCCGCGCGCGACCAACATGAGTTGTGCAAGGCGGATCAAACAGGCACACGCTCTGCATGCACTACTGCTCTTATTCATGGTGTCTGCGGCGGACTGTCGGTACTGGTATTCAGCAAAGCGGCAGAGCTTTTGCCCCCCAGCCCGGCTCAAACGCAACATATTATGCCTCATCAACAGATTTCAGGATCACTGACCCTTGCAATGCTGAACAGCTTGGAGTCAACTTGCAGGTGTCGATTGCCACGCAGTGAAGCCTTTAGATTGTAGCAGCCATGGCGGCGTTTCTACGTCCGTCTGGCAGGACAGCTTTCCTTTGAAGTACTGCTCTTATTACAGTGCCAGCTCCACCCAGGTGTGGTAGGGCTTCAATATTCCAGTTGATTTGGTCAAGAACGTGTGCTGCTTCGAGGGCTTCAAGCCTGCTGGGCTGCCCCGTGAAGCTACGCGGCATGCTGCCTTCCAGGCTGCGTTGACCATAGCACGCCCAACAAGACAGCCGTGTTGTCTTCACCCACCTGCTAAGGTAGGCTGATTATGCTAGAGCCACTGCCGATGATTGACCGCTCACTGTGAATGTTTGGTGTTTGGTGAGCCTCGCACCCTTCGGCTTGGCCAGGTTGCGGCCGAACCTGCGACGCTCCGACGGATGTCAGGTCCTTACGGCGACCAGGATCTTGCAGATCCTGTGCGCCAGAGCAGGTCTGCGGATGTCTGTGAAACGATAGAATGTTATGCCAACAGATGCTTTTCACAGCGTCGCAGGTACTGTAGTGTGCGTGCACCTTTGTGGTGTGCGCTAGAGGCTTTGAACTTCTCCTCTTGCCAATCCTGCTCAAGCTTCATGAACATGACAGGCCGCACGACAAGCATGGCCCACTGTGGCGGAAACAGGCTTTCTCGAGTCATCTCAATGCCAGGGCAGCGGCGCAATGGACTTGCGAGACAGCACCCATCAGTTCTGTTTCTCTTGACTCTGCAGCTTCGGATGGCTCGCTCTGCGTTGCAAACGCCATTGAGCAGCCCTGACCTTGGCATCTCACAGGTGAAGTAAGTGCGAGCCGTTCAGACAACGTCTAGGACCTATAGGAATCTAGGACTTGCTTGGCCGAAGCAAACAGCCAAGATGTGCCCAATAGTTTGTGGACCCAGGCCTGCCCTCCGAATTGCGGTGAAGCCCTTATGACCTTTTGCATGCTTCAGAAAGTCCTGCAGCAGTACACAGATGATCTGTGCCAAGCTGGTACTTGCAGCCCAGCCAGTGTTTGCAAGGGGGCGCACTCCGTCTCGCGGAAACACTCCCATGATGCAGGCAGGGCAGAGTTGACATTTCGTCTGCATGTTTATTCTTTACTATTGGTATTACTATTATTATTATGATTACTATTATTACTGTTATTACTGTTATTATTACTACTACTATTGTTACTACTCCCCAACCCCAAACCAAGCACAGTGCCCGAGAAAGGTGGAGGAGCCCCTCTGGTTCCCCCCAATTCCAGCTGACCGTGCGGGCTGCCTGTCAGGCCTCAGGGCATCGGGAGGGTAAGAGGGTAAAGTGACAATAATCACAACGATAATAGTAGTAGTAGTAGTAGTAGTAGTAGTAGTAGTAGTAGTAGTAGTAGTAATAATGAAATTTGTAATTACAGAAATAAGAGTAATAAGAATAGTAGTAGTCATAATAACAGCAATAATAGCAATACTGGCAGTAATAAGAATAGTAATAGCAATAGTAGTAACCATAAAAGTGCTTATGTACTAGCAAACTAAATTCGTACCACGGGAGGCTGCGCTTCTGGGGCTCCTCAGGGCTTTCGACTTCAGTGGATAACTTAGGAGTCTGGAAGCCAGGTATGCGACAATGCTCAAGGAATGCTTGGAGGTTCATAAGTGGATTATCAGGTGGGGTTGTAAGTGGGGTAACTATAAATATAACCCATATTAGGGGGGCTTATGACACCACGTATAACTAGCCATGAACCTCCGCCTGGGCTTGCAGATGTGTGATCGGGAAACATGACATGCACTTCGCTTGCAGGTGAGTTGCTCGCGGAGAAGTGTAGGGCCGTGCAGGGCCGTTCACGACATATGTCAGTTTCAACCATGATTATCAGCATCATCGTGATTCTGATCATGAGTATTGTTCTTAGTATTGTCACTATTTCAGGTTGAGCCGTTCATCGCAGACTCGTGGATCCGTCACCAGCATCTGGCGATCTTCCTCCATGGTTCTCTCCAGGATTGGATGATAACGCAAACTGAAAACCTTATAATATACATAACGGATGCAGTGTCTGAGGGCATGCGCGCCCGAACAACTCCTGCGAAAAAAAGAAACATTGGTCTGCAGGCATTCAGTTCCGCGCCGAGCGCCGAGCACAGGACAGTGAGTCTGTATCAAGCTGATGCCATGGTTGCTGTTACAGAGTAGACTTGGGTGGACATCTTGTCATTCGGAAAGAGATCAAGCAGAGTGTTGTGGATGCATGCAGGGGGCTCACGTGGAATTGTGAAGGAGTTCGTCCACCCTTTCATCACACAGACGTCCATCTACGCTGGCCGTGATATGTTACAGCGCCCAGCAGTGCCCGGCTACAGTGGCTTCACCGTGAGGCGGGATTGCTGGACATTCTCGGCCATATTGCTCGGCTGACCGCCTGCCCTCCATCTCAAAGTCGCTACAGCACAACCGAATGTGCGAGTGTGGCACCAGGTCAACGGACACGAACATGCTGAGCCGGCCATATGTTTGGACCTGAGTGCATGGTTCGCGAATGGCCCAAGCTAGCATCATCAAGCCGCACGGAACGAGTACATGCTAATCGCTGCCTGTGTATGCTGAGGCCAAAGGCAACTGGGAGGCAGAGCTGTGTTCTTTTGAAATGGTTCCATCTTTCATCAACAGCCTGACTCATTCAGCTGTCGACATGGCTCGCAGCCCCGGCAGATGCTCGGTGTGTTCATGTTCCAAGTGCAATCGCTTTCACAATCTGCCGGAAATATCTCGCTCAAAAACGTTTTATGGACTGGTCAGAGGTCTGAATAACCACAGGTAGCACATTCATTGCGCCCCCAACACTGTAAGCTGTGCACATTTATTACGCCCCCTATACTAGGCCCTGTGCTGGCCCTTGTCTGTAAGTTGTGCAGGCAGCCAGACTCGGCATGCGACGCGACCTGCTGACCAGCCGCTCCTTGCCAATCATCTTTGCACCCGAAGGCCTGCGAGTGCCCGGGCTCCAGGTTCTTGTAGATTCGGCTGAGTTGCTGGCAGCAAGTTCTGAAAATGTCCCTAATGCGCGAACGTAGTCATCTTGCCTGACACAGGATGTATATGCTTGGCGACTAGAATCACTAGAATCTCTTTTCTCGTCTAGGCTCGGAATGTGTCTACATTACTCTCGGATGATCAGTTGAGCTGTTTGGAGTGGTAGATGAATTGGAGTTTTCTGGGGGTCATTTTGATCGGTAAGCCCACCTGTTACCACTTTCCGGGCTCACTCTCCAGTGGAGTCTTGGGGCGAGTCTGTTCGTGCAGGGCCCATCTGCAAAGGGCTGAGACGGTACTAGGAGCCTCATGGGTAGTTATAAGCAGGGTTACAAGGCCCCGATTATGAGTTATAAGTATAGTTATCCTACTTATAACGGACTTCCCCATCTTGCGCGGCCAGGGAAGCAAATGCACACCAAAGAGCGGCGGTGAGCACCAGTCGCGTCAGACATGCCTTGCTGGCTGCTACCTGTAGTTCGATGGGGCATCACCTGGCTGGCAGATGTTCTTGAATTGAGCGGTGGCGTACACCGTTTCATGAGCACCGCATGCCAGAGATCACGTTTTACGGAGTTGGCTTAAGAAAGACACACACACACACACAAGGTCAAGATTCCAGCTCGCTGCCTTGTCTCAATCACAAGAGTTTCTTAGTATAGACAGACGTACTTAATAATTTGGCCCGGGGACCCGGTAGGTAGATCATCTGCGGCGGCCGCGCGAGCCCGGTGATGTGGCAGTTTATGGCAATTCGCCCCTGAACCCGTAACAGGGTTGGGCCAGGGTATCCCTGAAGGGGAGCTATTGAGCTGCTGCGCATTGGGCCACCGAAAAATCAGACTCCGCGCCCGTCAGTGATTGGCGGCCCGAAAGTCCTGGGCGCCAGAGAAAGAAGGAGCAAAGCACTCCATAAACCTCATATTATAGATTTTAATATATATATATATATACATATATATATATATATAATATGTAATATATATATTACATATTATAGATATATATATATATACATATATACATATATATATATATATATATATACATATATATATATATATATATACATATATATATATATATATATATATACACATATATATATATATATATATATATCTATATCTGTAATATGTAATATATATATATATATACATATATATATAGACACACACACACACACATACATACTCAGAGGCCAGGCCCAGGCAAGGCAGGGTCCGTTCGGCTGTCGTGCTGGCCAAGGCGCTGCAACCTTCGGCCGGGGATCTCAGAGGAGAAGCCAGAAAGTTGGAAAAATCATTCTCCTAACCCTTCTATGGTTTATAGGGGATCCTACCATTAATCCATATTCCAACTTTCTGGAGCTCCCTTTAGAGAGGTGAGGGCTGAAGGCACTGCACATGGGGACCATGGGCCATCATGGCCCGTGACACTCTGCGAGCGCACGCCTGACCAGTCGTACCGTCTTGTCATCGTTTCTCTGATTTCACTTCCCACTTGGCAGGAGATCATGACATGTACTCTGAGCTCGCAGTCTGGGAAGGTACGATTCCTGGCAGGGAGCCTCTGCTGCCGCAGGCCTAGACCAAGCCCTGAAGTGGCCCTGAAGTGTTGCTTAGAGCCAGCCGAGGTTTACTCCAGGGCCGCTGACGGTGTCAGGGCCTGTGAAGCAGGAATCGGGGGGAGGGGATCGCGAGGGTTGGAAAGAGTTTCGGGGGTTTCATCCAGGGGGTTTTCGAAACGCTTAGGATCGGGATGGTTTCTGGCAAACTGTTGGTTGGGCCCCAGGGTTTGCAACGCCTCGGATTGATTTTTTGTTTTTAGTGCGGCCTCATCATTCGCATGACGGAACGTCCGTACTCGGCTTGATAGTGGCGAGTCTGAACGCAACGGACAGGCCATGCTGGTGGACTATGGGAGCAGAGACAAGCTGCTTCGTCTGTTCAGTCGTTTTCGCAGTGAGATGCATCGAAGGTTGACTTTGCACGACCTGCGCCGTTGGAGCCGCTGGAGCGCACGAGCGACATGCAGCAGTCAGCGTAGCTGCTCTGAGGCTTTTCCTGGATGCCGTTGAGGAAGTCCGGCATCAGCTCCTCTCGATTGCCGGTGTCTCCCAGGACGCCAGTTGCCGCAAGTCTAGTGCCGTTACCTTGGCATATCCGGCCTGGCCCTCTGCCCCTGCCCCATGATGTGCTAACATCGATCGAAGGGTTATTTGCCTTCAGGGGCTCTTGTCTGCCAAGATGGCGGCCCCTGTCATCAGGCAGATGGCTACGAGTGCGTGATTGTGCAGGTCGCAGCCCGAGCAAGAAGATGCAGGTTTCAGCGGCTGCAAGTAGCTGCAAAGCAGAGCCAGTTTTCCCTCTTCCTCCCCACCTTAGAACGATTAAGACGCTTCAGACTTCGCCTCTCTGAAGGGCTCCGGCACTACGGCCGTGGAAGCCATGCTCGGCGCCGCGGTGCCCAGAAAAGATGGCAAGGTGGGGTTCTCCCCCCAAGCAACTTCACTGATTTGGGGTTTAGGGCTCCGTTTACAGGGTTGTGGGAAGGTCCCCAGAGTGCTGACTGTATATTATAGTTAGACACCTCAAGACGTGCTTCTTCTTTGGCCCAAATTGGGTCGGCATGAGATTTGTCTACGCCTGGAGGGCCGAGATTGGATCCGAAGAAGAGCCACAAACATGATGTAGGTGGAGAAAATGAAGCGGATTTGGAGGCTTTTTTTCTCGCTCGAGCGAAACACCTTGACAGAGGAGTGATCGATCGTGTAAGAGCGCACCGACCGTCGCTGTCCCGCGGCAAGCGTTCATCTTGATCCGGCGATGGGTTGTCGTCCCTGTCCCTTTGTTGGGTTGTGGAGGTTCCGGCCGGACTTGATGGTCTTCTGATCACAGAGCCAATATCCCAAGCGGTTCCTAAAGCCCGTCATCGACACGATGACGAGGACGTTGGAAACAGGACTTGCAAACTTCCTGGATTCCTTGGCGTGGCAACCAGGACTGCCACCGCAACGCCGAACCGAAGCAGCCGCGAGGGGACCCGCAACAGTCAGGGATACGTCGACAGCAACGGCAGGCCCGCCGACAGTGCTTCTAGTGGAACTTGCTTTGGCACACCGACTGAGACAACCACCAGAATTCCACCGGGCCACCGATTAGCACTACGAAACGGACGATGGTGCTAGCACACCGATCGATACAGCGACTTGACCCGGCCACCGAGAACACCCACCAAAGACAGGGGCGGTAGAGGCCGAGTGGACATGGACTGAGATTGGGATACCGCTTGTCTTCAGCAAGGGAATGATGAAAGGGTTCAGCGGTTGCTGCAGTTATGTGATGCCCATAGCCACTGGTGACGCAAGGATCTTGTTGTCCAAGTTCAACTGCTCGAAGAGGGAGGGCACCAGACCACTTGCTTTCTTGTATTAGCCTAATACTTAAGTGATTGAAGATCTACGGATGGCTCCTCTGCGAGGTGCTGATCGTGACCAATGGTGCATATGGCCACCGCCAGAAGGCCCGGACCTGCCCGTGCCTTCATCAGTCCAAGGCTGCAGAAGGCCACGGAGCACGAGGGTGTAAACGCTGAGTAAGGCATGCGGGACTGCGTGCGTGTTTCAATCGATCCCAACGTAACAGTCTTAAGAAATCAGACTCCAGGGCCTGCAAGAGCCACAAGCCATCGCCAGGCCATGTGTCAATACCTCGGCATCGATCACGAGACCTTGGATTTCGAGGCCCTCCCTCCCTCCCTCTCTGTCTCTCTTGTGGTGTCGACACAAAGCTTAGCACAGCAATCTCGCTGCTGTGTTTTGCCGACGTGCTCTAATCCCAGGACCACGACGCCATCTGCGTGAAGCGCGCTGCTTGGCTTTGTTTGGTGAGCTTGAAAGCTACAGTGTAGAATGCCAACATGGGCCCGTTCCGTGTCATTGTTAAGTGTCATAATGCATCTCCGGGCCATAAGTCATGTTTACGGGTCACTTAAGGAGTACGGCATGGAGAGTCACAATTGCCAGGTCCTGGCTGCGCTGCGGGAAGACGAGGCGTGTGACCGGCTGTGACTTACGGTTAGCAGTGAGTTGCGGCAGCCACGCGCAGGATTTCACCGATGTTTCCTTTGTTCACCACGAGACGACAGCCGGTGCAGCTAGGCTGCAGGAACGGGCAGAGTCAGAGAACTGCTTGGGCTTGAACCTCCGAAACTAAGGTTCTCAATCCTCTCTACGAGCTCGTCAAGAACATCAAGGCAGAATTCCCTGCCATGAGAGGCCGGGAAAACCTCGAGAACCGCACCCAGAAGACCCAGCAAAGGTCAACATGCACTTGTACAGGGCTGTCAGAGGTAGACATCGAAGCCAGCAGAGGGCCTGCACCGCGCCAGTTCTTGTCGACTCCATGAGCGGCTTTGGTGCTTACCCCTTGGATATGCCACTTGGTTTCCAGAAAGGCAGTTCTTCAAGCAGACGTCAGTGTCGAATGTGCTGATGGACCGATGGTCCAGTGGAGGTCTTGGGGCATCGACTTCGCGGTAAGCTCTGCGAACAAATGCATCGAGGCACACTCAGCGCTCGGCTTTCGCTGTTTGCTGGGTTTTCGCCTGCAGATGTGGTTACATGGCCCTTGCCATCATTGAATTATCATGTGCAGCGCTTTGGGACCACGTCTGCAAACGTTTGATGGCAGTGGCCAGGGCGTTCCTGGATTCGGCTATGTGCTCTGCAGCAGAGAGGTTCGCTCGTTCCAGCCGCGAGTGGTTGATGCCGGGAGAGGAACCTGGCAACGAGTTGCTGTGTCGTCAGGCTTTGCAGCAAACCAAAGGCAATGCGCGAAGTTTGTCCCTGGATGCCTGGCTCACAAGTCATAATTAAGCTGGTCCTCGGCAGCCTGGTTACATCACGCCAGTTTCGAAGATTAGGACTGACATCAGGACATCTACGAGCAATGGGCTTTCATGGAGTCCACAAAGTCCTGAGCTGAGGGGGTGATCGAGACTTTCAGGTTTCCGTTGAGCCTTTTGAAACGCAGACTCCATTCCCGACTTCTGCTTGCTGAAGGCAGTTCCGCTACACGCCGCCCACCCATGCGATATTGGCATTCCAGCAGGCCCCATTGTTCCGTTGCGGTGAATACAGTGAGAGCATCTTGCAAACCAACTGGGCACTTCTCAGTTACAGCAGCGGAAGCCTCATTATACAATGCAAGTCCATCGGTCCCAAAATTTAAGATGCTTGAATTCGATCAGGCCCTGCGCGAGTTCCTGCAAGAGGGGGCCAGAGAGCAGCGAGCAGCACGATATCAGGAGCGCAGCAGCGAGAGGGTGTTGTGCTGTTAATTGATGCAGCGTGGCTTCGAGCCCGTCGCAGACAATCCCCAGATACTGTCAGACGGACCCACCAGCCCCTTGCAAGATAATTTGAGGCATCCGGAGACCGTTCGTCCTGTGCCTCTCTCTTAAACTTTGCATCTGCGGCAAGGCGAACTACGAGGTGATGGAGCCGGGATCCTTGAGAAGCCGAAGACTTTTCTTCTTTGTAAGGGGGCCTTGTTGCCAGCTCTGGCCATGGTGATCCTCCTTTGCACTGCATGTCGGAAACCCACGTGAGGTGGCTCCATGCGAGGAAAGAGCATAAATTCAGCAAGGTGTCATTTATTCGCTGTGATAGCTGTTTTGATACCATCCATGAGTGTGAATCAGATGTACATCAGGCCTTTGCATTTCATGCTTCTGATCTGTTGTGCTCCTGCCTGTTCGTGGAACTGCTGCATGCCGCTAGCCTGCAGCTGGTATGCATGAGGCGCGGCATGGAAGAAATGGGCTTCGAGTTCTACGTGCCGAAGGTAACCGATATTGTCCGCGTGGAGGGTTTGCCGCTTATGCGGCTTGAAGCTGCTCCCTGCCTACGCTGCCACACACGGCAGGCACACCGGTCGTACTGCATTTGCACATTCAAGACACCTGACCACCCGTCCAACTGGCAATGGTTATGCAAACTGCGTCTGGATACACGGCTGACCGACACGATTTCCTTTCGATTGGTTCGGTCGCATCTGCCAGGAACTTCGACTTTCAAACCTTCTACAACCTGCTGGCGGAGCAGGGGCAAGCCCCTCATTTTGCTGAGGAGTTTGATTTAGAAGTGCGCGCCGTGCACCAGCTGTTGGGCCTGTTGGCAAGCAGTTGCGTTACTTTTCTCGTTTTGCCTGATAGGCTTTTGGATTTTCATGTTTGGCCACTGGGTTCCAGTGCCCAAACACATAACCCAAAAGGGAAAGCACCTTCCAATCTTCCAACCTTTTCCAGTACTCCAAAAACACCCGCGTTTCCGTATCTCTCGCCACCGCCCTCCGCGACGAGGTTCGTTATCTACCCTGGCAAGCTTTCGAAGGGCAACTCCTTCCGAATAGGCGCGGCATGCCCTACCCTGGCAAGCTTTCGAAGGGCAACTCCTTCTGGCATGGCCTGGGGTCCATCATTCGCGCACGTGGGTCGTCATGTCTGTGCCGAGGGGATCCTTCTCTGCTTCGGGTGGAACTCTTCCTTTGTTGCTTTGACGCAGCAGCACATCGCCACCAAGACTCCCCAAACATGCCCAGTGGAGTGCTTGCTTTAGATCCAAATACTCCGCTGAGAGCTGCTGCAGCCGACAGAATCGTGTCTCAAAGGTTCCTACTTACCATGGCTGATATGGCATGGCATGTTGAATGCACATAACACACGAGTGTCTTTGCCTTCCAGGCATCATTGGTCGCCTCTTTCCAAAGGTGCACGGGGTTCCCGAAGCAACGGTGTTTTCTTTGTTGCTGCTTTCGACGTGCCAGGATTGCGAACAGCTTGTACTGGCTGTTCGAAAGAGCTGCGACATGATGAGTGCCGTGGCAGAAGCTTTGGAGGGCCTCTTCCTTTACCGACTTCCAGTGGTTCCGAGAAGCAACGGACAAACTCGTCTTGTAGCGCTAGGTTAGATTCGATCCGTTTTCGCATGGGGATGTCACCCAAGCACCACATTAGAAGGAGATGATGTTACTGCCAACACACGGCAATTCACATGAAGACCAGGTTAAAGCTTCACGTCTGCAGTTTCCTTTTTTTGGACTGCTCGGTTGCCGGTTCCTCTTTGGCTAAAAGGGCATTTGACACCACACGGTTTCCGTCGCCCACCTGCTAGCCAGGATTTACTTGCCTTTTCAGTGGCATGATGAGTTTGTCTGCCAAAGGTGTGCCACTGCCACTGAAGTGATTGGAGTTTCGCCTTCCTCGAGCCTTATAGGCATTCCTTGTACATGGCACATGGCCGGACAGCAGGGACCAGAAATGGCCCAGCGAGCCACCCAGGTGAGACCCCGAGACCTGTGGTAGCTTCTGGACGTGTTGAGCTGCGGCAAGCAACAAAAAGTCAACGACTTTTTGAGGGCAGCATTCTGCAGGATTCCGGCTGCGACTCTGCCACAGTGAGAGACTTGGTTTCAGCTTGAAGGTGCAAGGTGAAGTTGCGTGGCAGGGCTCCTGTTAAAGTTTCCATCCTTGTCTCCGGGCCTGCGTCTTGCTCTGGGCTTGCTTGGTGATGGCGAGCTGAGATCGGAAAGCTAATTTTCGTGATGGCATCGTGATAGCGATCGTGAAATGTTGGGGCGATTTGAGCGGTGTCTTGAAGCTTTGATTGTGGAGGCAGCTCGTGCGCTCGGTTTGGTGGTGTTTTGCAAGTGCCTTCGTGGCTGCAATGCGGATGGCTCAACAGCACTGAAGCACAAAGTTTGCAGTCTTACGACAGACATGTGGTCCCCATGCCACGTGGACATTCCTAAAGTATGGCCTGTCTTGAGGCTTGTTTGAAGACACGGGCTGTCCCGGAACGCTATGGAACGCAGTACAAGTAGCATAGGTTTCCATGTCCAAGAGCTATGGCCTTTCTCTTTCTCTTGTCTCTATTGTACAGCCTGGCACTTCAAGGAGGCGCCAAGTCTGTGCGCAGACACAAAGCCTACGTAACCTGCGTGGTCAGAACATTTCCATGGTCCAGACAGAGAGCAGGAGAGAGGTCCTCTTCAGCCAAGTCGTCAGAGGGGACGCTTGCTGTTATGATACATCCGCCTGGAAATTCGAGATTGCCGTCTCCCTGGTAGGTGCTGCACTGGAACTCCAGGAGCCAGGCGAGTCAGTGCTGTACGGATGCACTGGTTTGCTTGGGGTCTTGTATGTCAGTATACATTCGGCTGATCTGTTGTTATGTCTGTTCTGACACCATTCGATTGCTAAACAGCATCTAGTAACTAGTAGTTGCTTAGTTCATGTTGGAGTTATATTCAGGAAACTGGCACGTTTGTCTCCCTCCTCAGCACACGCCCCAGGCGTGCTGGAGCGATGGCTCCAACACCAGCATCTGGAACTCCGGCTGCAGAAGTGTTCACGATCTTTTGAACACCAGCGCAGTTTGTCCATTGAACTCCGCGGCCGGCAAGGCAATCCCAGATGGTGCGATACCAGACTTTGAGGCGTGCTGCTGTGGTGTTTCCTGTGCAGTCCATGTGAAAGCTGTCAGCAGATCTTCTGCAGAGGCCGATGTGCAGATACTCTTTTCCAAGGTTCACGTGAAGGCCGTGGGCAGGGTCCGGTTGTGGACAGCGTTTTTGGAGGATTCGTGGCTGCTCCAGAGATCCTGAATCCTGAGTGCTGCCTGCCAAGGCTTCGGTGAAGGGGCTGGCGAGCTTCTCAGTCAAGGGAAAGTGCATGATATCCTTGCAAAGCAGACATAGGATTATATAATTATATAGGTACTTGGCCGATAAATTTCAATTTGCCAATGCCTCGTGATGCTTCTGCTCTTTTCCTGCGAAGGCGACCTGCTCTTGTGGGCAGGATAGTTTCTGAGGAGGCACATGGACAATGGATTGTTGGGACAAGGGGCTGGAAGGGAGAGGCAGGAAGATCAGAGCGGCGATGAGGACGCTGAAGGCAAACCAATAAAATTGCTTGAAAAGCTTCTTTTTGAGGAAGGCGGCGTAGGGACAAGAAGCCGCGCAAGTCGAGAGGACATAGTGTGGAGTATGGAGATGCCTTATGAACTATGGATTTGGGCAGAGTGCCCTGGAACCAACTGAAAGAGTTAGGCCTGAATGAAACGACGAGTACGTGCAGCTTCAATGCGCTGCAAGTAAACATCAAGCAGAGTCGCGATCGAGCCACGGCCTGGGGAGCAGCCTTGGTTTTCTTCCATTCGCTGTGGCGCGAAAGCCAGTTTGCTATTGGTGCCGAGACCTATGCCGTGCTGCCAGCATAGAGAAATGCTTGCCAAGAGAGTCCACGCTCCAAAAGCCGGCCACCCTAGTCACGCAAGGTGTGCGACCGCTTGCAAGTGGGAGCCTTTGAATCTCTGATGCATATTGGTTTGTTCTTGAAAGTATTTGTCATGCCGCAATTAGCGTGATCTCTTTTTGCTCCTCTGTGGTTTGCGTCGCCTGCAGACAAGAAAACAGCCTGCAAGGACAGCGGCACCATGCCAAGCACGGAGGCT